AGATCTGGGCGCAGCACAGAGGGGGGCAGAGCTGGGGCACAGCACAGAGGGGGGCAGAGCTGGGGCGCAGCACAGAGGGGGGCAGAGCTGGGGTGCAGCTCAGCAGCAGGGTGCTGGCCTCGTGTGTGGAGGCTTTGGGTCCCATCCCCCTTCAGCGCTAGGGATAAAGAAAGCTGTGGGAGTCAGGAGGTTCTCCTGGGACCTGCTGAATAGGAACCAGGCCTCAGCCTATCCTTTCCACCTCCCTGTCACACCATGAGGTTGCTCTCTGGCTACACAGAGGGAGATGGAGGTTACGTGGCTGGAGGTCAGCGGAACCCAGAGCCACCTGGGACTGTCCCTGGTGAGGATGCTGCAGCCTCCTTCCGTGTCCTCAGTGGGAGGCTACAGCAGATGAGGCCTCCGGTGGGGTTCAGGCCTGGGAGCAGTGGCCTCAGCCTCACTTTCCTGAAGGCCAAGTTCAGGAACAGAGCCAAGCTGGATGGGATAGGAATCTTAACTCTGACACCCACTTGCTGGGCATCCTTGGACTGATGGCTTAGTCTCTCTGAACTCATCTCCTGTCTATGGAGAGGAAGGGGGAGACATAACATGAGCAGGATGGATACATCCGCTCTCCCGGGAGTTTGCTTCCTTCCCCAAAGGTCACTTTCTCCATTGACGTGGCCCCTCAGACAATGGAAGAGCCAGCCACAGTCCTGGGCGTGGGCTTACCCAGTCAGAATGATGCCCTCATGTTGGAAAAGGCCAAGCAGGGCTAGCTCCTGCCCCGGGGCCTTGGGGGGGCCTGGAGCAGTGGACTGCTTTCTAGATCGGCTCCCGCTGGGTCACTGTTTACACAGACCGCCGTCAGTAGACATGAAATTATGTGTGCGAGCATTAATACCTCACCTTTCACCAGCCCCGTGTCTCTCATCAAAACACAACCCAGCATTAATCAATTAGCCTCCTGGCCTTGTACCCACTCCTCATTAGCTTCCTCCTCCCTCGGCTAAGATCGAGGCACACCGAGGGTCGCATCATGGCTCCAGCATCCAGAGAGCTCAACACTCTGCCTCCAGGCCTGCCAGAGCACTTCCCCTGTGCCCCCGGCCCCAGCACAGTCCACATTCAGCCCCCAGCTCAGGTTGGCCGTCCTTGAGTTGGCACAGCCACCCTATCCCCGCAGCCCATTGGGCTGAGGCTCTTTGGCAGGGACTCGGCTTTCGGATGCCCAGAGGCCCTCCCATTCTGGGGCTCAGCAGCATCACCCATGGAGAAGTGTGTGAGCTGGTACTGGCCATTCTCTGTGCCGAGGCTGGTGTCGGGTGGGTTCGTAAGAAATGGACAGCAGACTGTGCACAGGGACCGGGGTTCATTCTCATGCAGCCACGCTAACCAGGCATCATCATCTCCTTGGTCCATATGGAGGAAGAGGCAGAAGCTCAGAGAGGGTGATGGGTACCCAAGGTCACACAGCACAAAGAGGACAGAGTCAGAACCTAGAGCCATCACTTCTTGGCGGCTCCCACAGAAGGAGGGTCTGAAACCCATCCTGAGCTGAGCGCGCTAATGCAACTGCCAATCAAGCCTCTGGGGTCACAGCTGTGGAGGGGGGCCCTCAGACGGGAGACACAGGAGCTTCACCGCATATGCTGAGACAGTAGAGCTGCTTACAGACCCAAGTCTACCAGCTCCCCTCTCCTCCCTCTCCCTTAAGGAGCTGCCTTGGAAGCCCTGACCCAGGCAAGCACCTGCCCAGGTGTGTGTTGGGGACCAGGCTGCTAGGAGAATACGTGCCCCACCTGAAGGCAGGTACGCAGACAACAGGCCACTGTGGCCACGGGAGAGTGAAATCTCTCCGGCAAGTCTGAGGGTGACATGGTTCTTGGGGAATGAGAGCTCAGAACTGAGGCCTAGGAGGACGCAGAGCCTGAGGCTGGTCACTCCTACCACCTGGGTCACTCCGGCCCAGGCCTGCTTTGAGTGCCAGTGTCTCCTAGAGTAAGGTGAACCCGGCTGGGGAACGAGACACAGCTCCAGGAGCTCTGAGGCGTGGCGATGGACTTGTATGCACGGCATGAGGTTGGGGTGTGAATGGGAGTTCCCACAAAAGCTGCTCCTGCGTTGAACACACTACAAGGCCGATAGACTGTTGAAGTTTTTCTGGGGAGTTGGAATGCTACCAATCCTAACCAAGGTATCTTCAGCCCTCTGAATAATGATCAGTTGCTTATCTGTTTTTAACCTGACACCCTTTTGGCTATCAGGTAAAATCCCTTTGGAAAGTACAAACTGACTCCCAGCTTCCACCAAAGGCTAAGAATGTCTTCAGATACCATCTGAGGCCTATGGCAGTGGTTTCCCATAACCTGCCTACCTCATGTTTCTAACAATGTATCTGAAAAATGCCTTGACTCCTGATTTTCATTGCTGCTGCTGTTCTATTTATTAACTACAAGCTCTTCATTGAACATAGTATTTGGCGTGACCTTGATCTGCGTCCCCGGCCACGGTCACTCATACCTGGCGGCAGAGCAAATCATCTCTCTTGCCCTGTGCAGGTCACGTGGCTTCCCTGACCCGAATGGCCTTATCTATGAAGTTGGGTGTTAACCCAGCCACGGGGTGGGAGAGGAGGAGAGCCACCGGGCCCCACCTGGCTCAGGGTGAGAATCCAGCCACTGCTGTTTAATTAGCAGCCACTGTGCTGGCTGCAGCTTCCTGGTGGAGGCCAGGTGCCAGGGCCCAGCTGAGTGCAGAGAACAGGCCTGGGCACGGGACGTGGTTCAGGCTGGGTGCGGGCTGGACACAGGCCAGATGCGGGGTTCAGTGGGGACTGAGCAGGCCTTCTGTGCCCGGTGAGGACAAGGATCTCAGTGCTGGCCTCTGAAGTCATTAGGAAGGGACGGTTCCAGGAGGAAAACGACATACATCACTCTCCTTGGGGAGGGGAAGAGGCAAGCTTCCTGCTCCAAGCGGGGACAACCTTGGGACTCTTCTCCCTTCAATGCCATGTGCTACTGCTGTTGGCAGCCTAGAGCAGGACCAGTGTGCCCCTGGGGACGTCACCACGGCTACGGCACACCCAGCAGCGGCTCGCTAAGTCATCGCTGTGGGCAGGTTCTACACTAGGCTCTTTGGGTATTCCCTTCTCTAGTCCTTGCCCCAAAGACAGCTTTGATAGTCCTCCCGTGGGGAAACTGAGGCTCGAGGGGACAGCTTTACCTGCCTCCAGTTCTCACAGCTCCCAAGAGGCCAAGTGGAGACACAGTGGGTCCCTAGATCAGGAAGCAGTGCCTGATTCTCACAAGGTCACAAAAGGAGCCCCACATTCCTGATGAAGACACTGGGGGTCTGCGAGGCTCTGAGTGAGTATCAGCTAGAGGATTCTCCCCCAACATTTATCCAACATGCCCAGGTCACAATGCCTCCAACTGAACGGCACCTGTGCGTCCATGATGCGGGAGCTTGGCATGGGCTCATTTCTCATTTCTGTGTCCAAACACCCACCACAAGCAATTTAAAAGAGGAAGGATTTGTCTCCCATCCATGGTGGGGTGGGCATGGCAATAGGATCTTGAGGTGCTGGTCACATGGCATCCCCAGTCAGGAAGCAGAGGGAGATGGATGCTGGTGCTCAGCTTGCTTCCTCCATTTTATTCACCCCCAGCCCATGGGACTGTGCCACCCGCATTCAGGATGGATCCTCCCACCTCAGCTAACCCAAGATAGAAACTCCCTCACAGCCACGCCCAGAGGTTTGTCCCCATGGTAATTCTAGAACCTGTCAAGTTGACAACTAAAATTAGCCAACATCTAAACACCAAATTCATATTTGCTTTACATGTGTCTCTGACATGGTCTTGTGGTAATTTCATACCATAGATGTGGATGGATGGATGGATGGATGGATGGATGGATGGATGGATGGATGGATGGATGGGTGGATGGATGGGTGGATGGATGGACAATTGTTTATTGCAGTGTGGATGGAACCAGGGTCCCATACACACTGAGAAATACTACCAGGCCATATACAATGTGCTTAATTATTTTGTGCATGCAACAAGTTTCCCAGTATGGAATTTTCCATCATGATTCTGGGCTGGCACTTGGGTTTGGGACCACTTTGGGTTTGGGGTTTCTGAATTCCAGATGCTCAGAGCCCACATTCTGCTCAGAGTTTCACTGGGGTTTTCAGAAGCCTCAGACCCCATAGTAGACTTCAAGACATTTTACAGGTAAGTGATGAGGGGACCACGGGACCACGGTCACAGAGCTGAGGAAGGCTGGGTAAGTGAAGCCCAGGAGGGCCGAGCCCAGAGGTTACCCTGCTAAGAGCTCTTTCTCTCTCCCTGTGTGGGGCTGAAGACTGAGCCGGGCAGCACTGAGGACACTGATCCACTGGGCAGGCATCCAGCTAGCTCCATGAGATACACACCACACCAGTTCTGAGCAGTGACTGTCCTGTGTCTCACTGACACCGGTATTGACAACACCAATTAGTGATTTAGTGATTTAGCCGTGTGGCCAAATGCCTGCACTTGTTGGGTATCCCTTTTGACCAGTCACTTTCCCTGCCACACAGGGGCCTCACCCCAAGATCTCAAGGACCTCCCAGCCCTGGCCTCCCAAGCACCCCAGTCTCCCTAAGTTCCTGTCTCTATGCATCATTACCCATCTTGGGCCCATGGCCCTGCAGGCTGCTGGTCTGAGTCCCAGCACTGACTGGCAGAGCTCAGAGGCACACGTGTGGCACACGTGACACACAGTTGCTCTGCGGGCCAATACAGACCCGGCGCCCTGTCCCTAGACTCAGCCTGCCGGAGACCTGCAGATACAGCCGCATGCCTTCCAACAGGCCGCCTCACAGGGCCCCAGGCATGGCCTGCTCAAGCTCAAGCTCTGGGTTTCGGGTCTGAGCTTATAGCAAACACTGGCCCTTTTGTGTGGGGTGGCCACTCCATCCTGCATACAAATAGCCTTGCTCACTGATGACAACACAATGTTCCCTAAGTGGCACAGACTCGCCTCTTCCACTCGTTTTTTGCTCCCCTGGGTTTGGCCTCTGAGAGCCCCACTGGGTGTTGCTCACTTGGGTCCATGTTCCTTTATCCTGTAAGCATGCCTTGCTCTGGGCACTGGAGACCAGCTCACAGTTGGCATTGAGGCTCAGAGCCTGCATGCCGAACAGAACTGCCTGGGTTCAAATCCTGGCTCTACTGCTAATCAGCTGCACCACCCCAGGTAAGATACCTAATGTCTCTGATTGCACAGCTCCTCACAAGAGGTGTGGGGAGACAGCCAGGAGGCCCCGAGGGAGGGAGCTGAAACTGTCAGTGTGTGAGTGAGACCAGGGAGGAGGTAAGGTCACAGAGGCAGCGGGCGGTGCAGGCTGGATGAGCTGGGGGATTAGGAGTCAAGTACAACAGCCTTGGAGGGTTTGAGCTGGGAAGCAATCTGATCTGATTTACATTTTAATAACGTGTCTCTGGGCACCATGAGGAGCTGAGATGGAGGGTGAGAGTGGCAGCCAGGGCCAGCTGGGAGGAAGCAGTAATGGCAGATGGTGGCCTGGGTTGGGGGCGGTAGTAGCAACAGAGAGAAGCAGCCAGATTCTGGATATGGGGGTGAGTGAGAAGAGGAGGTACGTGTGGACCCTGACATTGGCTTCCCTGTGTGACCTTGAGTCATCCTCTAACATCTCTGAGCCAAGAAGCCACATGACACTTACAGGATCTGCTGGAAGCTGGTTAAGGTTGGGAAGGGGACTAAGAGGGTACTAAGGGTACTAAGAGGGTACTAAGGGTACTAAGAGGATACTAAGGGTACTAAGAGGGTACTAAGGGTACTAAGAGGATACTAAGGGTACTAAGAGGGTGGGAGTGGAGATGATCTGATGATGACCCCAATAAGACTCTTGAGACCCTCCATGGCTGCAATCCTGGCCATGGCACAGGCTGGCTGGGGGACCCCACCTGCTCCTCCCACTCCCCCTAGATGACAGGGAGCCCCTCTCTGCCAAGGGCCAAGGGTGTGGGATGGGAGCAGCTGACCCTCCACCCTACAGCCCACCCTGATGGCTCGCTCCCTGGAGGGGATGGAGGGATGGAAGGGTCCCTTTCCACTAGGGTCATCTCCAGGGCATGGGCAAGTCCACCCGAAACACAGGGATTCTCACTGGGGGCTCTGAGGCAGACTCGGCAGCCAGTCTGGCCTTTTGCAAGTTTGCAAGGAAGCGGGAAAGTGACAGAGGTGAGAGCCACTGGCATGGCTCACCTCCGGCTCTGCCTGGCTCTTCACAGTGCCATGCAGACTCCTCCTAATGCCCTTGTCCCAACAGCATCAGAGAGGGTGGGAGATCTTTGCAAGGTTGCATAGCACAGCCAGGTTCAGTTCTGGTCCACTCAGCCCTATGAGACCAGGCTGGGCTTTTGTCCCTTCCAACCGAGAGGTCTCCCCAGGAGGAAGGACAGAGTTTGGAAATGCTAGAGCTGCATCAAACACTCCTCCCACATCTGGACCCTGTCTCTTCCCAGAGCCCTTTGGGGGCCCAAGGACGCACTAAGGACACACGCGCCCTCTGGACTGTGTCCACAGGAGATTACACGCATGCTCACTGTGAACTTGAAGTACTGACTGCCCTCAAAGCTGACAATGAGGAATATTACCATCTTGGTCCCTACTCAGCCTTCTGTGGGACTTCAAAGCATCTACATAAACTGTGACTGTATTTATTGCCTGTGTGTTGTTGGGCAGAAGTGAATGTCCCTAGCAGGGGGAAGGTCACCTCTAGGACGTTCACTGCCACTATTCCCCATGTCCAAGGGACCAGTGCCAACTGGGGCAGCAGAGCCCACACTGCCAGGCAGGAGTTGGGAGGGACCGGATGCTGGGCACAGGGAGGAGGCGGGTTTATGGCTGAGTTTCCACACTGTCTTCGCCATTAACTTTGAATGCCTTTGTGTGTCTGTAAAGTCCCCCAGGTGGTTCAGGAGGATGAATCCAGGAAATTGGTGGTGAAAACAGGGTAATGGGTAGCTTTTAGACACCAGTGTGAGAGCCAGGGTACAAAGGCCAAAACAGCCTTGTCCCTGGACTCGGGGTGATGACTTCTAAGATAGAAATCTCTCCATTCCCCTGTGTTCCCCTCCAGCAGACAATGTCCCCTGCTCAGGATGGCGGGTGGGATAATGACACTGGGTGAAGACGCTATTTTCTGTTGTGTGCCTCAAACACTCTGATTACTGGCAGCTTTCAGGCCTCCCTCTCAGAATCAAAAAATAGAGAATAAAGCTAGCTCATTTGAGGCTGTGGGAAGCCCTGGCTTCCCAGACTTCTTCACCCAGGACAGCGGATGCCACTGGGCCACCCTCATCTCCATCTGGACACCAGCCTTGAGGCCACAGATGGGGAAACTGAGGCACAGAGGAACTGAACATCTCCCTTGGGTTCCTCAGAGAGGGGGTCCCCACGGAGCTTGTGCCTTGCCTGGCACAGGTTTCCCTTCTATGCTGGGTCAGCTGAGCATTGCTGAATGCTTGCCTACAGACTAACCAGAGGCAGTGATTTCATCAGCTGGACCAGGGCCCTGAGCCTTCCCACCAGATGCCAGCGGAGTGGACACTGGAGACACGGGCTGACTCCGGTGTCCCATCCCAAGCCAGGGTTTTGATCCCTGAGTTCTAGGCCTGACTCTCCAGCCTGATGCTGTGTAATAATGAACAACAGGTCTCTCTAAACCTCAGTGTTCTCATTTGTAAAACAGAGACAGCACATTCCAGCCAGGCTGCTGGGAAGACAGAAAGGGTCTCTAAGGGTGGGGCGCAGTGTAGACCACACAGGGTCCCCCGGACACAGTGTGTGTGAAACTGTGGCTGTGGACTGTACAGTTCTAGATGGCAATTGAAGAAATCGTAGGCCAAGCCAGCAGGATTTGTTGTTATTTCTCCCATTTTTACTGATAAGGAAACGGAGGCCCAGAGAGGTGGAGCCATTTGCCTCATTTCTCCAGCATGGGAAGAACAGGGAACAGGACCTCAGGGCCTCTGGGCCTCTCTCAGCAGCCTGCTAGCTCTGTGAGTACCAGGCTTCCCACCTCCTCTCTCTCCGTCTTCCTGTCTTCATGTCCTGTGCTCAGGCCTGGACTCCAGGCTCCTCTTCCTACACCTTAGCCCCACATGCAGCCAGTGGAGAAGCAGATGGCCAACCTTGCTCATGCAGAGTGCCTTCTTGTGTCTGATCCCAGCTTCTCTTGCTTTAAAGCCAACTTGCCATTATTAGCAGATGGGGCCTAGATCCCCCCCCCCTTTGCCGTAGATGTCTCTCCTACAGATGTCCACACAGCTGGCCTGTGGGCTGTCAGGGGACTGCCTTCCCCCATTGCCCTTGATTCAGAACCACTGTGGCTCTCAGCTCTGGGGTGATCTAACAGTGGGCCGGGGGCACAAGAAGAGTCACAGTGTTGGAGTGCGGGCAATGCAGGCATGGTTAACTTGGCCCATCTCACAGGGGAGGGCACAGGCCCAGAGCAGCTGAGCAATCTGTCCTGGGTCACACCCTAGCACACAGTGAGGCCAGACTTCAACTCAGGGTCAGGCTGAACCTCCAGCTGCACCCCAAGTTCACCTGTTGCCAAGCAGATGCCAGCCCCAGGCTCCAGACTTGCAGCTTCTAGAACTACAAGCCAACTAAACTTCTATGTTGTTATAAATGGCACAGCCTCCGGTATTTTGTTACAGCAACAGAAATCAGACCTGCAGTTAACAACATGCCCCGGGGCCTGCCCACAGCTGGGTCCACCTTGGTGGCTCTTGTGGGAGGGTGAGGACCTTGAGGAATATCGGGGTGTCAGAAGGAAGGGTGGGACAGCCCAGAGGCCATGAGCCAACTAGGAGACATCACCCAAGGAGCCCCACAATCTTCTAGTAGTGGAGAGGTTGAGTCTCTGGGCTCTCATGGGGGTGTCCCAGGCATAGCCCCCAGCAATGGGTTGTGTGAGTTAGCCTGTACCCCTGTTCTGCTCAGTGGCCACATTCCTTCCTTATTATTCCTGGAGGGAAGGGGAGAAAGAATTTACTCACACAAAGCATTTTACAGAGGCTTAAATGTCACATGCTGGGGTCACATATGCCACAAATTGTCTTTATCGAATGGAATAAAAGGATCCGCAACTGGGACCATCCCTGAGACGCAAGAAAATGCAGGCTGAGCCCAGGAGGGACAAAGGACTCAGGAGGGACTGAGTCCCATAGGGGCCACTGTCAGGATAGAGCTACCAGCCAGCACACAGTGGGCACACCATTAATGCTCCATGACTGGCAACCTGATTCCTGCCTCAGTCACAGACTGAGACTTCCTCTCTGTGCCTTAGTCTCCCCATCTGTAGACAGAGCAGAAACTTAGTAACCACTGTGTAGCACACACACACACACACACACACACACACACAACCTCACCCAAGAGGAATCTGCCACCGGTGTGCTTGGCTCGATGTGGAGCCAAGCAGGATTTTGCACTCCAAAGTGTCCTTGGCCATCAACAGGTCACCAACCTCCTTCCTCCACAGGGCAGCTGCCTCCGGGAGCCACTCCCAAAGATACCAGCCATGGACAAACCCTTGCATCCGGCTCTGCTTTGAAGGGAACCCCCAAAGCCCGTGACCCCTGAGAAGCAAGTGTCTGCGCTGTGGCCTCTGGCCCCCGGTCCTTGTCATGGAAGATGTAAAAACTCACACCAGCACAAAGCTGCGGCTGGGAAGAAAGGCGGCCTGTGGCCTGGGAGGGATTATGTTATATCCAGGCAAGATACAGATCTTAAAGCTCACTGATGCTGGCGCCCATGTGTTAATCCTGGCCCTGGCAGTCCTGATCCTCAGCCCCAGCCTGGGCAGGCAGAGGTACCTGGAGGAGTTGCAGCCTTGCAGACTAACTCTATTCTTCACTTGCTATGTGGCCTCAAGTCAGTGTCTTAACCTCTCTGTGCTTCAATATCCTCATTCATAAAATGGGGGGAATAATAGGCTCTAGTGCAGCGTTTTTAATGCCGATTAAGGATATTAATATTCATAAGGCGCTTCAAAGCGTGCCCAGCGCACAGTAAGTAGTACATAAATATTTGTTAAATAAATATGTCTTGCTTACCTCGAAGGGTTGTGGTGGGATCATCAGATGATAAACATGTGAAAATCCGCCCTCCGTGGTGGAAACCCATGCAAACAGATCACAGCTGTGAGTTCCATTTAAGTTTCTGTTTCCCCAAGCTGGTTCCCCTCACTGTGCATCCGAGCACGGGGTGTTCGGGGCAGACTCTGAAGTCTCCTGTAACCAGGATGACCTAGTGGCCAGGGGTCTCAGGTACTGGGGAGCCGCAGACAGTGGTAGCAGGGGAGCAAGCCCAGCCACTGCCGTCCCTGTTAGTGACTGTACAGGGGCTTCAGTTGTGTGGTGCAGGAACAATGGCAGTCCATTCCTCTCGGGGCTGGGGGAGCACTGGGCACAAGACCCAGACACTCCTGGTCCTCTGGGCACAGCCAGGAACTGTGTGCAGACTCTTCACCTTGATTCCCTGGACTGACTGAGGCCCGTGACTGAGCTGCAGCTGATGGAGAGCCAGGGCTCGGGCACCAGGGATTGTCCAGACCCCAGGAGGTGGGTGCTGGGTGGCTGGACAGACTTGGTGATGGTCAACAGCAAGGCTCAGCCAGAAAGGTGCTGGCCAGGCAGGCGGGCACCCAGCTTTGGGCCAGAAGAGGCAGCAGGTGTTTATCCAAAGGCTCCAGCTGGCCCTAATGTGTTTGCCCAAATGCTTATTCCCAAATAAGAGGCCTGGAGATGAGCAGATAAGCTGGGAACAATTAACTCACCCCAGAGGGAGCCACAAACCTGTCCCACAGAGAGAGCAGTCACAGTGGTCCACACACAGGGCCTTTGGGGTCACAGGCATAAGATGGGTGGAGGCCTAGCCCTGGAGGGGCCTGAATGATGACCGTGCCTTGGCCTATGTACGGTCCCAGTGACTGGCAAAGGGTGGACAGGGCCACATCTCCACCACTGTGCATGGGATCCCCAGGAATGAGAATTTTAGGGTGGGGTCGGGGGCCTCAGAGGGAGGAGTAACCTTCCATTCACTCATCCGTATACTCGCTCATTCACCTGCTCCCTCATCCATTCCCTCCTTCCCTCCTTCACTTGCTCATTCATTCACTCACTCACATATTCACTCATACATTCACTCACTCATTCACTCACTCACACATTCACTCACACACTCACTCACACAATCACACATTCACTCACTTACACACTCATTCACACATTCACTCACTCATTCACTCACTCACACATTCACTCACACACTCACTCACACATTCACTCACTTACACACTCATTCACACATTCACTCACTCATTCACTCACTTACACATTCACTCACACACTCATTCACACATTCACTCACTTACACACTCATTCACACATTCACTCACTCATTCACTCACTCACACACTCACACATTCACTCACTTACACACTCATTCACACATTCACTCACTCATTCACTCACTCATTCATTCACTCACACACTCACTCACACACTCACTCACACACTCATTCACACATTCACTCACTCACACACTCACTCACTCCACACTCACACATTCACTCATTCACAAATTCACTCACATATTAACTCACAGATTAACTCACATACTCACATTCACTCACACATTAACTAACACACTCACTCACAATTCATTCACTCACACATCACTCACTCACTCACTCACACATCACTCACTCACTCACTCACACATCACTCTCTCACACATCACTCACTCACTCTCTCTCTCACCCATCCCCCACCCTTTCTCTCACTTGCTCACCTCAGAGCAGCCTCATGCTTCCCAGCTACTCTACCATCTGCTCTCCCTCTGGCACCAACCCTTGGAGGGCAGCATGCACATGGCAGGAACTGGGCAATGGTCTCCTGTGTGAGAGATGGGTCTCACTTGGTTCTCACCTGCAAAGGGAATGCTCCCCAAATGCTCTTAGTACTCAGGATGCCAAGGCTCTGAGAGAAGCGGAGACACTGTGTGAGCACCAGGGACAGACCCTGCCAGTCTTCAGGGACCCCACTGATGCTCAGCGGCCTTTTTGGGCCTATGATGTGAGCTTGCTGTGAGCCGGCCTGTACTGGTTTGGGGAGAGAGGGAGGGTGTCCACCTTGGGGATGTGTCACTACTGGCTAGGGTGAGGGTCACATTTCCTGCTCTCACTGTGTGCTGTGGTGGCCAGGCATAGTGGAAGGTCTCAGATCAGAGGGGACAGAGAAATATTGCCAGTCTCATAGGGTGTGGACCCAGGTCAAGCACCCTTAATCAAAACATCTAAAGTCCAAGAATCTCCAACTTTCTGAAAGATGTGTGATGGTATAAGCCTAAAATGCCACATTGCAAAACTTTGTCTTGTGTCTGGAACCATTTTGATTTTATCTGAACTTCCCCGTGGGCTCCGTGTTTAAAATGTAGATGAGATAAACCAATTCCAAGTTACTGTTTAGACTCCAGACCCATCTCGGGGTAGCACACCAGGCACATGCAAGTCCAAAGCCTAAATTCTGAAAGCGTTCTCACACGAGCATTTTTGCGGGGTGCTCAGCCTGCACCCCTGCCAGCAACACTCAGCAGCGCTCACTCAGATCCCATCTGCTCACATGATGTAATCCCACAATGGGGAAGGGCTGTTAGATGCAGATGCTATGGGCTCAGAGAGGTGGAGCGCTTTGCTCAAGGGCACACAGAAAATGTGTGTGTGTTTGCTCTGTCAGACACTCTGCAAACCGCTCCCCCCAGAGCAGGGCATCTGGGAGGTCCAAGTCTGGAGGCAGACATCCAGGTGCTCCAGTCAGCAGAGGTGAGGTGGGGCTGGTGGTCCTGGCTCGCCTGCTCTGGCTCTGGCCTGAAGCCTGGCTTCACCCCCAGCTTTGATGAACCCCGGCTTCCCCTGCCCTCTCCTTTATGGAGACTCTAATTTTAGCCAGCCAAAGAGTCAGATGGAGGGAGCTTTTAAACCCGGACTGATTTATGCTCTTCCTTAATTGCTCCAAAAAAGTGCTCTGCATCCTCAGGGGAGGCGGGGTGGAGACAACTCTATTTAGGTTAAGAATTTAAAGCTAAGTTCTCACCAGCCTGGCAAGGATGAGGAACCCACTCAACTCGTCACAGTGGTCCCCTCCTGCGCCTGCCTGCCTAGTCTCTATTGTCTCTGTGCTCCACTGGCCACCAGGGGAGGAAGTAGGGACCACCAGAAACACCCCGGGCAGTAAAGTGACCACAGGACACTTGCCACACCCACCATGGTACCCTCCAGGGCCTCAACCACAGAGAAACACAGAGGGGTAGTTACAATGGGTGGGGGCAGGTTAGGTTTTCAGGGCTCTGCCAAGGAAGGACCAAGGGGGTCCCTTCCATCACCTTGGCCATCCCTCCGCAGCAAGTTGGGGTCACCCAGGTTGAATGACCTCTCCAAAGGTGCTCACAGAGGCCCCCACTCCATAGACACGAGACCTGTCATTTACACACAGATGCCAAACACTCAGAGGCAGGACTCCAGCAGTCTAGTCCATGAAGCAGGCTGGGTCCCAAGGGTCACAGACTGGTGGTGAATCCCAGGAGAGCCACAGGGTCCGGTGGAATGGCCCAGTCTTTCTGTCTCCTGGTCCATGTGTCTGTCTCATCCTGCGTAAACACTGTACCCCGCTCAGTGCTGGGCGCTAGGGCAGCAGATAACGTGAAGAGTCCAGAGTCCAAGCATCAGGGTACTCTGCCATCACACAGAGCCAGCAGAAAGAGACGCGTGGGGCTCTGACTACAGCAGGGCCGGAAACCCATGGCCTTCCCCAGCAAGGCTGTCTCCACTTGCCCCTGCTACCCCAGTGGCCTGTCTGTCCCAAGCCTGCATTCAGGTGTGGCAGGTGATAGATGGTCAAGCGAAGAAGGATAGGGCTACCAATTTTTAAATATTTGGGAAAGACTTTTTTTCTCTCTTTCCTTTTCTACAAGGCAGAAAACAGGTAGACAGCCCCAGGAAAGGGCATCAGGGCCGCCAGGTGGATGGAGACTGGATCCCTATGACTCTGTGTGGAGGAAAGTCAGCTGCAGTGAGCCGTTGTGTGGCCAGAAAAACAGACAGCAGGTGAGCCCTCTGAGGGCAGCTGGAGGCTTGCTTGTTACAGCACCACATGGTTAACTGCTCCATCCTACAAAGAGCCATTCTGTGAGTGAGGGATTTACTTAATTTGACTTTTATGACAGTCACATGTGGCAGCTGTTCCCCCATTTATACACTAGAAAACCGAGGCTCTGGGAGGTGAAGTCACTTGCCCAGGGTCACACAGATGGCAGATGGGGGAGTGGTCAGGACTGATGTCTAACTCCCACACCCAATATCCAGATGATACACTCACAACAGGAGGTATCAGTGAGGGAATCATGGCCAGGGATGGGATGTGACATCCTCCCTTGCCTCTGGGTACAGAAGAGGGGACAGGAAGTCAACCCTGGGCCACCAATGTGTTTCCTATTGCTAAGACACATGGAAAGGAAGAACAAAAGCCCATTATTGGTATCTTGTCCCCAAGCTGGGATGAGAGTTCCCCGGGGCTGTGCCCACTTCCATAAGCAGTGGCTGTTGCCTTGAATGGCTTTTATGGATCCACAGGGAGCCCTCTTCTCTTCTCCTGAGGAAAGAGGAAGTGACAGGGTGGGAGGCGGCACAGTGGGGTAAAGGACTTTTTTTTCCCCCTGAGACAGGGTTTCTCTGTGTAGCTTTGTGCCCTTCCTGAATCTTGTGCTCTGTAGACCAGGCTGGCCTCTAACTCACAGAGATCCACCTGGCTCTGCCTACCGAGTGCTGGGATTAAAGGCGTGCGCCACCACCGCCCGGCGGTAAAGGACCTGTTGTGAGGATGTGGAGGCTTGTGTTTGAATCTCTGGACTCCATGTAAGCCGGACATGGTAGTGTGTATCTGTGACCCCAGTCCTCCTGTGGTGAGATAGGGGGTGCAGACAGGAGAACCCCCAGAGTATGCAGCATGATGGGGGTC